CAGGGCTGTACCTGAGCCTGGCCAGCCACCACCCTTACGACGCCTCCCTCCGGGCCTCCCCGGGGGCCCCCACGCCCCCCCTTCAGGCGGAATGGGAAGGCGACGTCGCGCAGGCCGCGGAGCGCTTTGCCATGGGGGCCATCGCGGCCGACATCGTCGACGGCGATCGGGGGCTTCTGCCGCCGCTCGAGGTGCTACTCAACGCGCGGGAGGCCGCCTGGGTGGTTTTGCGGCCACACTCGCGGCAAGAGGACGCGCATCTTTCCGGGATGAAGACGCGACCCTCCCCGCCACAGACTTTGAAGGTCTCCGAGATGACGCGTTTTCTGCAGCTCCTGCGTGTGCACAACTGGGATATTCGCAAGATCGCCCTCCCCCCTGGTAGCAAGCCGTTGCTGGAAATCAAAAACAAGGAGGCTGCGGCAGCTAAGGAAAACGGCGAAGAAAAAGACATGGAGGTGGAGGTGGGGGAAGAGGAGGCCGCGGGGCAAGACATCCCCGATGGTGGTGATGATGGCTGGATTTATGTCGACGAAACGGCCGCGATGGAGGAGGCGCGGCGGAAGCGGTATTTCATCCGTCGATGGAAGCGCTCGCGTCAGTGGGAGTACGGAGAGTCCGACAAGCGAGCGGCGTGCGCAAGGCGGACGGACAACCAGGAAGAGTGTGAAAGTCGTCGTGGTAAGGACTAGACGACCGACTTACCCCTCGTGTCCGCGGACGAGTGATCAAAATCAAAGATCCTCAAGAGCGTATCTTTTAGTATGATATTCTTTTATTTAGTTCGCATTCAGTACAAACACCTGCGGAAGGGGAAACTGTGAATAATATGCGGATTCATGACTAAAAAATTGTACTTCAATCTAGAAAGCGAGGGGATGTGTTTCGCTCTCCGAGCTTTGCGAGGTCAATGCTTAGCAATGTTTGTTTGATCATTGAGGAAATTGCATTGACTTATTTGAACATCCCCCTCAGAATTCCACATTGCATTTTCCATTTCCTTCTAAAAGTATAGTAGTATTTTTTTTGTTCCTTTTGTTGCCTTCCTTACAAGGAAAATTGAGGAACCTCTCTTTCTATTTTTTTATTATTTGAGACCTATTTTTAGCCATCTCTTACAAACTGATGCGGTTTGATGGCTCTGATTTTTTAAAAAATAAAATACCAATCAAAGATTATTATACCGAAGCTTTACGTAAGCGTAAGCCAGTGCATTGCCCAATATGCAGACACCGAGGCCGTTTAACGAAAAATCTATATGAGATAGGACGGCGCATCCCCTCGGTCCTTACGGAAGGAATGGCATTTTGCCATATTTGTAAAGAATACATCATCAATCAAGAATCACGAACTCTAGGGGATATATTCTGGTATTGTGAACTCTGCGAAGTGTGCCTGTGCGGTCGATGCCAGCGCAAAATGGATTAAGTAAGGGAAGGACTAAAAATAAGAACCACAATAAACAAACATAGCTACTATGCATTTTCTTGTTTTTCATTTTGTGAAAAAAATGCACATACTAAGGAGGGG